ACATCTCTTTTGAGCAACGTTACCTGCTCAAGTCGAGCATGGAGCAGTAAACTAACTGAACTGCAAGCCCAGTATGACAGAACCTACTCATCACAAATACTTTTACAGGCCAGCAGCGTGCTGAATGTTCACTCAAGGTATCGTGGATTTTGGGGCAACATTTAAAAAAAAAAAAAACATTTAGTGACGGGACAATTCTGAGGGAGTGCTTAAATGCTGAGACATTTGATGGAAAACAAGAAGACGAGACGTGTGAAAAAAATCAAACCATTCCCGATGTCAGCCTCAACAGCATGCAGAAAATCAGAAATATTAGCCGATGATGTCATGGCACAGCTGGATGCAGCTGTTCAGAGTGCACCATGCATCTATTTGGCAATAGATGAGTCTACAGATGTTACTGATGATGCTCAGCTTCCTACATGAGAATGGCTCTGACTCCATTCCAACCAAGATTTAATTTACTGGCAGGACAATCCCAATGCCCGTTTCTCTCATAAAATAAAGAATAATCAAAAGAGAAAAGGTGTTAAAAGCTCTGTTTTCAGTTTTTTTTTTTTTTTTTTTTTCAAAAAGAAACATTTTTATTTATCGTTTTCCGAAGATGCCGAAACAATTTTATAATGTATTTTAATTTATATAAGGTTGAGCCCTAATAAAAAAAAAAAAAAAAAACTGATTTTTTTTTTTTTACTTTGCTTTGTTTACACTTTTTATACTAAAAGACACTTTTTAAAATGTTTTACTTCATGTGTAAACCTTCAATTCTTGGACCTCTTCAGTTTAAGAGAAAAAGACTTTTTGTGCTCTGTTTGCACATTTAAGATGTTTTTTTGATTCTGAGCTTTCGGTTTTAATCTGAAATAAAGGCCTTAAATTTATTTGCCTGGGACTACTTTTAATTATGGAGATAGTTGTTTACCAAAGTGCAGTTTATTAACTGTGAAAATGTGAATACGGGTAGGCATGACCATGAGACAAACGTTGGACTTTCGTCTGGACCTTTTACTAGGAGGAAATTTTAGTAACTGGACCTCTGTAAATTTTAATTGAATACCCCTAATACAGTACCTGTAGTGTGTGTGTGTGTGTGTGGGGGGGGGGGGGGGGGGGGGGTACTGTGCCCCCCTTGTGATTTTTAACATGTAAATTAAGCATTCTGGTAAACTCCAAGAAGAAAAGTAGGGGAAAAGAAAACATGCTTCAGGTAAAAAATACATTTATGCAAGTCCTAATTTAATTAGGACTTGCATAGGAAAGATGGCTAGTCGACCGACAACAGCAGCAAGTCAACCGGAAAAACCATATATGGCAAAAATATTTGGTTTGCTAATAGCAAAAAAATTATTTCTTAAATACGTAGCGCTAAGCTAGCGACAGACAACACAGATGTGTTAGCTAAGATGCTACAGACGTAGCGCTACACCTCTCTAACCCATCCTACCCCCATCGAGAAATGCTGGCATTTATGTAGTGCTAAGCTAGCTAGCACTACGCTCATAAGCTTAGCACTTAGTGCGAGCTTTATTGCAAGCTAGCTAGCATAACTTACGTAGTGCTACTGCTTATCGTTATGTACGTCCAGTCAATGGGAAATTATGCCATCTATCGCGCCTCTGACCCCCCACAAAAAAAAAAAAGTCTTCGGATCTAGATGATTCACGTAAATTACATTTTGATTGAAATCGGCAAATTTTGCGGAAAAGAGACAACTTTGAAGGTATGCATGGTGGTGGTAGCATCATGTGTGCACTGCAAGAGGAAACAGAATGCTTAAGGAGGTGGTCTACCTTCAAATTCTCCAACTTCACATCAAATTAACAGCTTGATGTTTGACACATGGACCCAGTAGGATCCAACAGGACAATGATCCCAGACACACACCGGTTTCTGACTGGATAAATCAGGCTCACATTAAGCTTCTGGAATAGTCTTCCCAAAACCCTAATCTCAATTTCTAAAGTCCAAAATAATCTGATATACATGCCCGTGATGACAGACTTCTCAACTCGTCAAGATGTATTGTGGTGTTGACATTCAAACAAAGTAATAAAGCCTTTTGAACTCCTATCCTTTTGGTCATTATCTGACCAAAAATCAACCCCAAAAAGCATTTTTTGCCATTTTCAGATCTCAGACTTGGGACTTGTTAGATTAGCTGGACTGAGATTAACAAACCCTCTGAGAAAGAAAACCATAACTTCAATTGTTTTAACACCACAATATCCCTTTTTTTCCCCTGTGAAACTATTGAATTCCCTATACATCTGAGCTCCCTCTTTAGTTCTATTCCCCCTCAGGGGAGCCAGTTCATTAGCTCCCTGCCCCCTCCCAGCTCTGTAAACTCATTAAGCCTGCAGGCCGGGTTTAGTCGACACTCATCCTCCCCAAAGATCTGGCTGTTTTGATGACCTGTGACCCCGAGTCCGTTCCGCGGAGCTTCCAGACAAGTTGCACACTCCAACAGGCGACAATGTAAACAGAAGCATTTGCTTTTAAGAAGTCGCCACCAAGAAGACCAGCCGTGTTTAGGCTTAAGGAGCACCGGTTGTCACATTGTTCTGTCTATTAACAACTTTGAGTGTCTTAAAACATCCCAAATGTATCTTGCCTTCTGGAAGTGAAGCCTGTTCATTCTAACAAAGATCTACTGTATGTGGACAACTTTTTCACTGTAGAATATTTAAGTTGCCTGACCATTTGAGCCTTCAGCTGCATGAAGTGCAATCCAACTAGCATCCTTTCCTGGGGCGTTTCAAGAGAAAGAAGTTCAAAGGAATGTTTGTTACTCTTGGCAGTTGTTTGGGTGAATTGAGCCCTCTTGAACACAACATATATTTTGTCAAATTTTACACAATAAAATGTATTTTATTTGAGTTAATAAAGATGTGTAGACTTTTGTTTTAAGACAGCCCTCAAAGTGTTTCCTTTTGTAATTAAATCAAGTTTTCACTGTGCTTGGAGATTTGAGTGAAACTAAAAAGTCGAGTGAACTTAACACTCTAAATTTGAGCAATCTCTTGAAATCTTTATGGTTAAAAACATTGAAACAGTGGGAAAAAAAAATCAGGATTATTTCCTGTCTTTCAAACTACCGTGTTTTCCGCCGTATACGTCGCACCGTCCTATAAGTCGCATCAGTCCATATTTGTCTAATAAAGTGGAAAAATCCATAAATATGTCGCTTCGCCGTGTACGTCGCATCTATTATGCATCACCGCTGACGCATGGCATTTGTTATGCGTCACCGCCGACAACCCAGAAATGTGGACTGGTGTGCCAAAAACCGATGGGCTGCCAAACGGTGGCCGCGGGAGCATGCACGGGAGGACTTTAATAAGAATTTAACAAGATTAACACTTAAAAACAATTATTTGTTTGCTCAACATTATTATTACATGTGTGTCTCAATTTAACGTTTGCTTAATAAATGCACTTTGATGGTCAAATCAGCTGTATTTCTAAACCCAAATCACATTTCTAAACCCGAATCACGGAAGTTAACGCGTGAATGTGACGAGTCGCTGTGCAAATTTAACAAGATAAACACCTAAACAATTATTTGTTTGCTCAACATTATAGCAAAAGTGTGTCTCAGTTTAAGATTTGCTTAAAAAATTCACTTTAATGGTCAAATCAGCTGCATTTAAAAATGGTGCTCCGTGAACGCGCAGAGGGAGAAAAAAATGAGGAGGAATGCGGCTCGTTTCTCCGAAATTTAACAAGAAAAGTGCCTAAACAATTATTTGTTTGCTCGAAGTTATAGTAAAGGTGTGTCTTAGTGCAACGTTTGCTTAATAAATGCGCTTTAATGGTCAAATTAGCTGCATTTCGCCAGAGTTGTGCAGCTGTTTTGACGGTTCCAAGCAACGAGCAGAATGAAGGTGGGGAGATTATGGCAAGCCGATTGAGTCATTAATGGCTGGTGAAGATTCTCAGTCATACAAGACATGGTAAATTCAAAAAAAGTTCAAGAAAAAAACGGTAAAGTATAATATATATATATATTATATATATATATATATATATATATATATATATATATATATAAAGTCTAGTTGTTTTTGTCTTGAACTTTTTTGAATTTGTCATTATAGCCATGTTTACACTTCCATACTACTATTACTATTCTGCTGCCATCAAGTGGCTGAAAGTCGTACTGCACTTTTTTCCCCAGTCAGAATGAATGGAAATGGTCATATCTCAGCCAAAAAATGGTTTATAAATATGGGAAAAAATCCATAAATATGTCGCTTCGGCTTATAAGTTGCAGGGCATGTAAATTATGCAAAAAACTGCAACTTATACAGTGAAAAATACAGTACCTAAAACCAAAGCCTCAACTCATATGTATTTCAAATCTAATTTTAAGCTCCAGATCTATAAAAACATTTGTTATACTTCATAATTTTTTGGTTTACTTTATCACAAATTTCAGTAAATGACGGTTTAAGTAATAACTGCTGATAATACAGTCCCCTAGGATTGAGTTCATTGGATCTTGGAGGTCCAGAACTTCAAACTTCTAAATAACCCTTAAGACATGTATCATAGTTCTGAAAAAAATGGTATTTAAAGTATTTAAATCTACAGTGTGCTTGGACTTCAGCCAAAGAGAAACTGAAGTCCAAGTGGTGATTCCCATAACATCATGAGGTGTGTTTGTTTTGTCTACCTCTTTAAGTTCTGACTGGAGCCAAACAGCTGGGGTTTGTCAAAGATAAAAACCTCATTTAGTTCTGGCTCAAGATTTTTCCATTTCCAGGGAGAGAGTTCAGGGTGGAATGACACCGTTTCAGTCAAAGTAAATCCAAACAAATTTAACTATGTTAGGATTTTCAGAACAACAAACAGTTGCTGGTTCCAACTCCTGAGGTGTTTGTTTCAGGCATAAAAATGAATACATAAAGCTCAACTCAAGTATTATTTTCCCACTTCCCTTAAATATTTTATCCCCATTTCATCAGCATTCCTGTTAAGTTTATTATTTTTCTTCCCAGCTCCAGAGTGCTACCCAGGAGGCCATCGAATTTTACGCAATCCATACCGCAGTATTGACTTCGACTCTACAGAGATCCAGAACACAGCCATCCAGGACCTGATCTGTGACCACTCCCTAATGCCCGGCTGGTACAGATTCAGGATCAACAACAAGCCGGCGGAGATGCCGACCACCTGCATTGAGGTAGAACAGTCAGTTGTTTGTTCCGTTTAAAAATTGTTTGACCTCGAGCAGACTGGTGTAATCAGTACTTTCAGTCTACATGCAGGGTTTAAAGACTCCCTTTCTTAGAGAAAATGACTTTTTTCAATGCCCCTTTGCAGATGAATCACTGTGGTACTCAGGCTCCGGTGTGGCTGTCACTGAGAGACACCTCTCTGCCACGGCCCGGTCAGGTCCGACAGCTTTCTGCCTGTGCCACCTGGCAATTTTTCCAAGGCAGCACCAAAGATTGCTGCCTTTTCCGCATCACTGTCACGGTGAGGAACTGTGGCGAATTCCTGGTGTACTATCTGCAGCCAACGCAGGGCTGCATGGGATACTGCGCTAAAGGTGAACATTCTGCGGTCTTAAACTGTTTTTAAACCTGTTAATAAGAAGGATTCCACCTAAATTCATGTCTCAGTTGCTCCAGAATTGGGATCCAAACTCTGTTCACCAGGAGAAGTGCAAGTTAATGGTCGGTGCAAAGGTATGAAAACAGGAAAACAAAGTGACTAGTTTCAATTTCTTGTTTTGAAACATTGTTGTCCTTTTGAGGAAAGCATTCATGCTGCTTCCAAACAACTAATTTATTTTTTGGATATCAAAAATCCTAACATTTATCTGACTTCCTTGTTTCCAGCTGTTACTCCGTCTCTACCGTCCCGGCCTGTAATCACCCCGGAGCTAATCGGACACAGCGTACACCTCAGGTGTTCCTTCATTCCGCTGCCATGGAGCCAAGCTTTGGGCTTCCAGGTGGTTTGGGCCAGACACATCGGCCACAACATGAAGGTTGAAATCAGGCAGGAGTCTGCATTGAAGCCCTTCTCTCTGGTGGAAATGGATGGCGTTCACTTCAGGCTCGGAGAAACGGTAATTTCCACCAGACTGAGCTGAAGTTATGATGAGGGAAGCACATGTGGAAAGCTTTACCATTCCAGCAGGAAGCGTGAGCCTCGGATCGTGCTGAACTCTTTTTGTTCTTCTGCTTCAAAAAGTAAAAGCAGAGAGGCAATGTGTGTCATATTCAGTTAAGACAGAGCAACTGTAAGGTGGAGATGTTAAATCAACTGCAGGTTGGACAAGGCTTCCCCCACATGGGTCCCATCTCAATCGATCTTCACAGTGAATTCCAGGGAAGTTCTTTTAAATAAGAGTGCATAAAGCAGTGTGTTGATTTTATGGTAGCTCTTTAAACTGACAAAAAGATAAAAAGTGGATGACATTTAGAAAAAGATTTGTAATGGGTAAACCAAGTTCCAAAGGATTAGAAGCAATGGCAGTACATCCAGATGATAACACTAGATTGTAACGCCTAACATTTGATACAATTATTTTACATCCTTTTTTCACATTTACCTTTTATTTATACTTTATGGAGGAAAAAAATACACACACAACCATGTCTGACCCATTTTAATAGTGGGGAGAGTACCATCAAGATTGTGAAAATAAAGTGGTCTTCAATTTTCTACACTTAATGTAGAAACAACATATATTTTGAAGCTTGTTAATTATATTTAAAAAAGATCTCTGTTGACAACATTTTCACTGTAGAACATCACTGCAAACTTTACAATATGACAGCTTGGTCATATGTGAGCAGAGTGAACAGGAGGGGGCTCAACACACAGCCCTGAGGAGAGCCAGTGCTGAGGTTTATGGTGGAGGAGGAGAAGTTGTGGATCCTCACAGACTGTGGTCTGCTGGTTAAGAAGTCCAGGACCCAGTTGCATAGGCTCAATTATCAAGATCTTGGGAAACATGGTGTTGAAAGCAGATGTGAAGTCCAAAAAGAGCATACGGACGTAGGAGTCCTTCTGCTTGAGGTGGGTGAGTGGAGTGGAGTGGAGTGGAGTGGAGCTATCGATCCACTTTTTCCATTTCCGATACGATGCCGAGAATCCAATACCAATATCTGTTTTAGCATCGGCCAATACCAATCCGATGCAATCTGAAAAAAACAGTGCTGAATTAACAAAAATGGCTAAATCATGTCATCTGGACCAGTTTCTGAAACAGGTCCAGATGACATGCTTTAGCCATTTTTGTTGTCTACCTAGATGATTGAGCTTACAAACCCCGTGCTGAATTAACTTAAAACATTTGTTTTGGTAAACGCAGAAATGAATGTACTGAATTACAAATTTATTGAAAACTTTGCACCATAATAGCACACTTAAACACACCAAGAGCTTCACAAGCTTGGTCAAACATGTAAAAACAACACAACTTTAATTTGTTCAGTCAGTTCGCCAGCGCGTAACGTCACTCAGAGCACAAAGCATAGAATTAGAGTGAATAGATCTGCCCAGTCATGGATCGCTTACATTGTCACCGATACCTGATCCAGAAGTTTTTTTTTATTTTTTATAACGGTACAGATACCAATATTGGTATCGGATCGGTGCATCTCTAGTGAGAGCAGTTTGGACCATACAGGAGATGGCGTCCTCCGTTGATCGAACTTGAACTTGATGTTTTCACATCACAAGTCAAAAACAAAATCCGAATTCCTCTACAAAAACTTAAACCTGTATTGTTCAAAATAAAATAAAAAAAACTTAAGTATGGGTAGTCCGACTATAATTTCTTATTCCTGAAATTGACTTAGTCTCAACTCGTAAACTATTTTGGTTTTTGTGACTCGAGGTGTTTTACTTTCCTTGCACAATCTTAAACTTTCTCTTTGAAAATCATCAATTTCACAGTTTAAAAAAAGTAGAAAAAGAAATAAAACTCAGGCTTTAACGTTCCAACCAGGGTTTGCTCTCCCCAGGACTCCCCAGCACCCGTTTGGTCAGTTATACTACTTTATAAGAAGCATTTGACCAATCTGTTTGTAAATTTTACTTGTTTAAAAATCTGCCTTGTGCTGTGTGTCACTTTCCTAACTCTAGATTAAATAGATGAAGATTTTAAACTTGCAGGGCTAAGTTGTTGCTCATAATGTCATGTCTGAGCAGTAGGAGGGAAAACAGATGGAAATCCAACACCGTTAGGATTACGTCTTCCAGCTGGAGTTGAGTGGTAGCCCGTCTTCCTCAGCTGGGAATAATTTTTATTTTCCAGCACACAGTGGTTGTTTTCCAGTAGAAATTATTGGGAAACAACACATAAACTTATTAGATTATCAACATTTTGTGATATTTCTTTGCAGTTCTCCTGCAGTGTCTCAACTTTCAGAGTCAACTCCAACGACTCCAGATCTTCACCAAAAGAAAGTGAAAGTTTCTACGCTGGAATAAAGGTAAATTGTTCTACATGATGGCCGGGATGTTTCAAATAAAACCTGTCAAGCTAAAATAAAATAACTTTTGTTCTTACCTTAGTTTTCTCCAGATTCGCTTCACATAGCAGAGAACAGCAAAGAGCATGAGGTGACCGTCCACAGCACAGTGCCCATCCCCTGCTTCAGGTCCGACCTCGGCCACCAGTGTGGAGTCCCTCTGACTCTGAGTGTCCATGATCCAGGTCAGACCTGCTGGAAAACGTGTCTGTGTCATCGTTTTTATTGATTTTTTTTTTTTTTTTTTTACAAACAAAGTATAAAGTCACTAAATCCCAACTCTGAACTGATATAAAAGTCCCTGCAGCACATAGCTGAGCAGACACTGATTTGACCTCAGTATACTTTTATTGGACTTTTTTTGTTGTCGTTTCAAGTTACCATTAACACAGAGCTAACGAACTGAAATTAGACGAATCTTTTTTTTTGTCACTGAAAACTTCTGCATCTGTGGTGGTGGTTTCCTTTTTTTTTTTTTTACTTACTTTCAGCTCTTCTATTCTAAGAAGCTAAATTCAGCCTGTTGGATATGGATAACAAGCGTCACAAAATGTGCATAATGCAAAATGACCTCTGAATGACATAAAAGAATTTGAACCATAATACACAAATTTCGGAGTTTAGCCACATTCAATACTTTTAGCTACAAGCTTTAAACTAGGGGTGCATTGATTGCAGTTTTTTTGGCTGATCACCGATTTCTAAAATAGTCATACCTGCCGATTCCGATTTTGTTTTATAAGCGACACTGTCAAGTGTCACAATGCACCTTCAATTTTCCAATCTTATTTTATTGAAAAACATACCCTTGAACAATATCCTAGAAACTTGTTTTAAATGGCCATGAGGTAGTGCTCTGAAATATAAATGAAGTTCAGACAATTGTTGTTAAAACGAAAAAAATATCTGTAAAATCGTTTTCTCGTGCATCGGCCGATTTCCAATTTCCCAAAATTAAGGAAATCGGGACCGATTTATCAGTGCACCCCTACTTTAAACGTTTATCAGCGGTTGTGTATTTCTTCTAAATATGTTCAGTTCAATTCAGCTTATTTCTATAGCGCCAAGTCACAACAGAAGTCCTCTCGGAGCACTGAACAGAAACATTCACACACATAAAAAGCCAACTCGTAACACAGTAGTTATATGTGAAAACTTTTGGCTATAATTTTGGGTAGTCAAACCTTAGATGAAAATCAGTGTTAAATGTGCTAAATTGGCTACTCCATCCATCCATCCATCATCTTCCACTTGTTCCGATGTCGGGTTGCAGGGGGCAGCAGTTTGAGCAAGGAGGTCCAAACATCTCTTTCCACAGCCACCTCGTCCAGCTCATCAAGGAGGATTCCAAGGCATTCCCAGGCCAACCGAGAGACGTAAGTCTCTCCAGCGTGTCCCGAGTCTTCCCCGGGATCTCCTCCCAGTTGAACATGCCCGAACCACCTCAACTGGCTCCTCTCGATGTGGAGGAGCAGCAGTTCTACTCAAGAGTCTCTCCCAGATAACTGATCTTCTCACCCTACCTCTAAGTTCAGCTACCCTGTGGAGAAAACTCATATTGTCCGCCTGTATCTGCAATCTCGTTTTTTCGATCACTATCCAGAGTTAGTGGCCATAGGTGATGGTAGGAACGTAGACTGACGAGTAAACGGAGAACTTTGCCTTGTAGCTCCCTTTTACCATTCTTCCCTCATTCATGAACAAAACCCCGAGATACTTGAACTCCTCCACTTGAGGCAGAACCTCACCCACGACCTGAAGATAGCAATCCACCCTTTTCCAACATTTCCTTTCCCTTCTGATACTGGGTACTCGATAAGTCCAACACCCACCATTTTTTTATATTACATATCCTGCGAAATATGATAGAGACATAAAAAATAACCCTAAACCTATGTTTTGTGGAAAACATTGAAATGTAACACAAACTGGTTTTAAAAACAGTTTTTGTAAGATTTTAAGCTGTTTCAGTCGCAACTTTGGAAACGGCCCCATTCACTTCCATATAAGGGTGTGACATCGCTCGAGATTTCTATTGTACAAAGTTATAGTTGATTATTTCCTTCTAGTTTCTGTCAAAAATATTCGAGGCAGTAACAACAAGCGGAATCAGTGTGATGCATAGTTTTGTGGGAATACAGCCAAAGAGGGAGTCTTTTCCAAAAATTAAGGACATTTCTGAGAAATGGCTGAAGTCTGTCAAAGTCAAATGGGCAGACTTCATATCACTGTCGCAGAACAACGTTCTGTGTTCAAAACACGTTCAATCCGAGGATTATGATCCGGCAATGATGCAGGGATTTGGATTTAAAGGAAAGTTTAACATCAAACTGGAAAGAAGCAGTAGCAACTATTCAGCCAGATCTACTGTGCACAGGAACTTGAAGGATCAGACACCGAAAGGCCTCCAAAAAGGGTGCGTACACCGACATTTATGAGGAAACAGGCTGCTTTGCGGGTATGCCACTAGGTAATTTTTATTTGTGTCAAAAATGCAGACTTCAAGTTATAAACCAGTTTTTAAATTGTGTTGATAAGCAAAGTAAAACCAGAGTTATGATGAATAACTCGTGCCACATTTTTTTGTGAAAATGAAAATCATATCTGAAGCGCATTGGGGCGAAAGGCAGATGCAAAGACGTGAAAGTCTCTTGGAGGAAATACCCCCCTCAGCTACCATCCTGCTACCCCCACCGAACAAACAAACAACCCCCCACCTTCTTTCTGGCTGAGGCCCAACGTTATTTGTCAAGCATCAAAAAAATCTTTAGGAAGGAAAAAAAAGACGCGGAAGTTGAAGGAAGTTGAAGGAAGTTGAAGGAAGTTTGGCGGCGACAGAGATGCAACGAGACAAAAAACACCTGCCTGTAGATGGCCCCTGGCATGAAGACATCAGCCTTCGGTAATCATCGGCTGTGCGCTTAGGCGATTCTTTGACTGGTTTGTTTGTTTAAGGGTTTTGTAAAAATTGCGTGGCCCGAATGCAAAAAACCCCCAATAAATATTGCATTCCACGACAGTGAATACCCCTTAAGAGCACTTGGAATTACAATGGTGGATGTAGGACTTTTGAAAAGTCAGCAGTTTACTTGTCAATGCAACAAAAACTACACAAAAGCTTCTACATATGATTTCCTACCAAAGTCAGAAATAACATTGAAAAAATGTGCCTTGAACCAACCATTTTGGGTTAATATATAGTATGTGGTGCTTATTGTGTTGTTCCATGTGTTTGTACATCAACACATCCGGGCCACCTTTGAAGTTTTTATTACAGACCTACAGGCAGCTGCTCCATCTGTTATCACTAATTTAATACTGTGTTGACACCCACAGACGGCCTCGTCCACAAGGTCTCCAATGTGGTCCTGTCCGCCTGCCGGGTGGAAATCCAGCCGAAAACCTGCAGCGAAGGCAGCTGTGGCAGGGCAAAGTTTTTTGTCACTGCTGTGACTGATTTCACACGAGATGGGAATCGCCCGAGCCTGGTCTCAGCTGTGCCAGGTCCTAGTGTACCAAGTCTCTGGAGGAGCTATGTCCCAAAATCTCTCCAAGTGAGTTACCATTTATGAAGTCTCTATGTAATACACTTGCACTTAAATGAAATTTAAAGATTGTGCACTTTCAAGTACTGGTAATTTTAGAAAAGCAAAACAAAAAAAAAGTCTTATGGGTGTTTATGGAATTTATTTTTCCCAGTCTTGGTGGTTCTTTAAGAGGTTTTAAGTGTCGTTGTGGGATATAACCTAAAGGTTGTGAACCAAATGGAGAACATAAAGGTGTTTTGTGGAGAATCTGGAAATACCAAGATGGTTCCAAGAAAAACATACTGTAAAGCTTGGAAATTTGAGTTTGAGGTGTTTGGAGATTTTTTTTTTTATTTATTTAAAATGGATTTTATTTTCAATTATTTGTCTAAAAGAATGATAGATTGGGGCGTTCTAATATGTTTTTTTTAATAGGATCACAACAAGATAAAATTGGTCTGAATTAAATCAGGGTATGAAACATTTCTTTTGTGGAGCGTTATTAGACTTCCTAAATTGTGTGTTCCTGAAAAAAAAAATCAAGGCAGAATTTTGAATTTCTCTAGCAAATCTAAATTTCATTTAAAACAAAACAGTCAGAATTTAAATTTAAAAAGCAATGTTATAAATACAGTTTAGTTGTAGATGGACAATTGATGTAAATGGTAAATGGACTGTATTTACATAGTGCCTTTCTGTCTTTTAAAGCACTTTGAGTATCTTGATAACACAATTTGTGCCCTCATTTACTCATTCATACAGCACTCAACTAGATCTCTAAAGGGCCAATTGAACAAATCATTCTAAAGAGACTAATTGGTGCTTTTTTAGATCACATTCATACAATGGGACACACATCGGAGGCAATGAGGGATTCAGTGTCTTGCCCAGGAACACTTGTGACTGCTGGTGGATTTGAACCCCAAACTCTTGCATTGGAGGACGACTGCTCTAACCACTCAGCCCCACTGCCCCATGTCTATTTCATAGAAAGTTCCATCAACTTTGCACATCATCCTTGCACATAATGTCAATCCATTTTCTGTCTTCTAACAAACCTTTTCTTGAAGGGATTTTCCATCTGTTTAATGAAAACAAACCCTGAGGTATGAAGCGTATTCGCTTTAACTTGCATGTCTTAACCTAGTGCTTTTCCTCCAGGTCATGGTCCAGGATGTTCCCACTTCCATCTGCTACTCATTGACTGATCCACATGTCATCACATTTGATCGACGGTAATTTACTGGCACATTTAAAAGCAGATATACTCACTTAATTGTAAGCCATTTGACATTAATCTGCAATACAGGCATTATGAGAACCACCAGACTGGAACTTTTGTCCTATATCGAAGCCTTACAAGGATGTTTGAGGTCCATTCCCGCCAGTGGGACTGCGGTAGCCGACACTACTCTGTTGCCTGCAACTGTGGTGTTGCAGTGCAAGAGGGGAACGACGTAGTCATCTTTGACATGTGCAATGGGCAACTACAAGAAACAAAGCCACAGCTTACTCTAAAGAACCCCAGTGATGAGGGTAGTCGGGTCAGGGTCTTGGAGTCCCATCAGGGGAGGAAGGTCACCGTAGGTATCTGTTCATTTTAACACTTTTTAAGAGTTCTTTGTCTTCCATACTTAATTTTTATTTTTTTTTTTTACGGTGGAGTTAGTTACAATTCTTTTGGTTTTTTTTTAATTGTTACATCTGTTTTCCTTTTCCTGTTGTAGTTTATCTTTCCCTCTGGGGCCTTTGTTAGGGCGGATGTAAGTGACTGGGGGATGAGCCTGTCTGTACGAGCACCCAGCGCTGACTATGGCAATACCCGAGGCCTCTGTGGAACCTTTGATCATAATGGCAACAATGACTTTCAGGGTTCTGGTGGTGATTATTTTGGCCCTGATGACTTGGATCACTTCATTGAGGACTGGAGGTCAGTAATTAAGACCCAAGTAATATATCTTTGCTCAGGCCTTATTTCAGTTTAAACATTTGGTTTGTGGTGTCTCTACAGTTGCTTGTTACAAATTTTCCTTCTTTGTGTTAGGATAGCTCCAGGTGAAAGTTTCTTTGATAAAACACCTCCTGGGGTCATGCAAGATATCAGGCGACCTTTCTGTCAGTGCCATAAAGAATACAGCACGTCTCCTAACCATGGCAGAGAGGTAGAGGACGTGCACAGCTCTTTGGCTCATTCTGACTGCATAGAATATGACAATGTGGATTACACATCTGTGTTTCCCTTCATGGACACAACAGTGGAGTACATCAAGAGTCCTGAAACACTGGGAAGCATCCTGGAAATGTCTGCCTTCAGCAGTCATCCACTGGAGAAAAGGCACATTTGGAAGCATGGTGATAAAAATCTAAATGGTGATGAGATTAAGCTGGCGGTTGAGTTTGGAAAGGATCTACTGCTTTCTGTTGACAGAACGAAACGACACAACTTGTTTGAATATCGTCCCATTTTTGCAGCTCAAAGCCTGAGACAAGTAGATTTGGAAAGTTTTGCCTACTTTTTTCCTGAGGACCACTTGGAAGAAGCTCGACAGGAAGTACAACCCCACTGGCCTACACCAAGTGGCCTGACCTCTGCCAAAGCCTTGGAGATGTGCCAGATGGCTTTGGTCAACACCACTGTTGGTGCGGTGTGTCGAGGGCTGCTGGGACGCCGTCTTGATGTAGCAGTAGAGCTCTGCATGCTGGACCTGCAGCTCAAAGATGACCTAGGCTGGGAGGATGCACTTCTGCCATATCTGGAGAATGAGTGCGAGAGACAACTAATAGAAAACCGTACCCAGCGAGCCACTGAAGTACCAAGTTCACCAAGTGCTTTTGAGGAAGTGTTGCTGGCACTGCGCTGCCCAAACTTTTGCAATGGAAATGGAGAATGTACAGAGTGGGGCTGCCAGTGTTATCAAGGCTACAGCTTTCATGACTGCAGCCTGGCCATTGGTGAGTATCTGTCAATATGGTTTCTACTTTGTTGATGGTATCCAATGCTTTTCTTAGAACTCTATGAATTTGTACCTTTTAAGCTTTATTTTCAAACGCATTTTGCTTTGCTTTTTTGGTTGATCTAAAGAATAAATGCATTACCGTGACATGAAACTTTTGTTTCGACAATCTTGTAAAGTTTGTAGGTAACAACTTTTCCTACAGGCCAGCCAATCGAGATAACCGATTTAGAAAACAGTGGATTATGCGACATCCGAGCAGTTGACTGTCACAAAGTTCGTGTCTTTGGCCTTGGCTTCATCGACTCTCCTAACCTGAGCTGCCTTCTCACCAGACTGAAGGTGAAAAAAGGGAGGTTTACATGTCAGGCAAGGATCCTTCAGTATGAAAGTGCCATTGCTTTTTCTCTGATTTGTCTCAACAGTATATGAACAAAGCTTGGGGTCTAGGGGAGCAACAGCGGACAAAAGCCACTTTCCTCAGTTCTAAGGCTCTGGACTGTGCTGTTCCGTCACCAAGTAGTGCTGTCATCAGTGCAGAAGACTTCATGATGGATGACAAACCATATGCACGATGGGAGATTAAGGCATTGCATCTAAATTTAATTATTTACTGTTTTTACTCTTTATCACAGATATAAAACATTATCATATTTCTTTTCTGTTCCAGGTGACCAATGATGGCTCCCAGTTCAGCAAGGCAAAGGTGCTAACGACTTACGATGGTGTTTGCCAGGTCTGTGAGGCATCACGCTCAGGGCTCTGTAAGTTAAAGGTAACTTATTTGCAAAACAAACCAGTGTTTTGTCTCTCTGTAGGAGGAATGGGATTGTTTCAACTGTATAATAATAATAATAATAATAATAATATTAATAATAATAATGTGCTATGTGTTGTCATCATTGTATGTTCCCATAAACTGGCGATGTTGACTCTCTGCATTTAACCCATCCACCTCCAGGTGGAGCAGTGGGCAGCTATTGAAGGGGCCCGGGAAGCAATTGGGGATGGGGTATGCTGCTCAGAGACACCACGAGATGTGCAATGACTGGGGATTGAGCCTGGGACTTTTGGCTCCCAAGTCAGCTGCCCTGCCTCTACCCAATCTCAGCCATATGCTATTTTTGTCCCAAAATGAGTTTTTAGTTTAACTTTGTGTTGATGTTATTCAACAGTAATTAATTAAAAGAATGGTCAGTTTTACATCAGTTTTTCAAATACCATAAAATTTAATGATTTGTAAACAAAGTAATAGTTCATCAAAAAATGTGTTAAAGGTTTAGTCAAAATTAAACTTCAGTTTACCTAAAAATTTGAATGGATTATCCAACATTTTTCAGTCAGGTCATCTGGACAATTTCTTATTTTGTGCTGAAACGTTTCACCTTTGATCCGGAAGGCTTCATCAGTTAAGGAAACACACATGAGCATGGACTTTGTTGTTTTCAACCAGTTTGACACAACTGTCAACAAGGCAGAGGGCCGGCAATGGAGGAGGGAGCGTGACAAATAGACCATCTTAGCACCAACATAACTGGTTTGTTCCACTTTGGAGTAAGCTATTGGGGGAAGAATTAGTTTTGTGTATTTCTTTGACTGACGAAGCCTTCCGGATCAAAGGCGAAACGTTTCAGCACAAAAAAAGAAATTATCCATATGACCTGATTGAAAAATGTTGGATTGTATACCTGGATTATTGAGCATGGACTTTGTTGTTTTCAACCAGTTTGACACAACTGTCAACAAGGAAGAAATTAACTGCCTGTTAATTAAGGAATTAATGATTTCAATGGAGGGAGCATGACAAAGAGACCATCTTAGCACCAACATAACTGGTTTGTTCCACTTTGGAGTAAGCTGTTGGGGGAAGAATCAGTTTTGTGTTGTGTGTTTCCTTGACTGATGAAGCCTTCCGGATCGAAGGCGAAACGTTTCAGCACAAAAAAAGAAATTATCCAGATGACCTCACGGAAAAATGTTGGATTGTATACCTGGATTTGGATTATCTGACTTTGTTGTAGAATTAATTATGTTAGCTGTTTAGCTTAATGTAGGTTAATTTTTTAGCTCAAGTTAAACTACTGTTTAGGTAAAAGTGAAAAAAAATTCTGCAAAAATTAGGCTGCAGTTTAGCTTAAGAGAAACTAGTTTTCTAGAGATAAACTAACAGTTTAGCTATACAGCAATGAAAGTTTAAGCTAAAATTTGGCTAACTGGCAAACGTTAGCGCAAGGTCTAGCTAAAATAGAGTAATGGTTTGGCAAAATGAAGATTAACGATTTAGTTTAAAATAAGCTAATGTCTTGGCTAAAGGTAAGATAATTAAAAAAGTAAGCTACAGTTTAGTTTGACATAAGCTAATGGTTTAGTTAAAGGTTAAACTAAAATTTGGCTAACACTTTAAGACAAAATATAGCTAAAATAATGCAACAGTTGTTATATATATTTAACTAAAATTAAGCTCATGTTTTGGCTAAAAATATAAAGATAGGGTAGAGGTAGGGTAGCCGACTCGGGACCCGAAAGTCCCAGGTTCCTTACATAGCTGCCCACTGCTCCATCAGTATTCCAGGTGCGATGGGTTAAATGTGGAGAACCAATTTTGCCATTGTATGGGAACATACAATGATGACAACACATAGCACTTTATTTATTTATTATTGATTGTGCAAAAAAAAAAAAAATCAAGTGATGATACACAAACTGCAAAAAAAAAACAAGTACAAAAAGCTAATAAAAGATTATGCAATTTCTAAAATTGTGGCATGTTATGTGTGATGATGTGAGATTAGGAATAACTTTTTACCTCAAACCTTAAATTATCAAATGAAAGATGTACAAAATCAAACCTCTGTTTGGTGATTCTAGGAGAGGACGTGTAACATAGACGGGATGTGTTTTACAGCCGGAAGTGTCAACCCAAGCAGTGCTTGCCTCGTCTGTGACCCCAACACCTCCAAATACACCTGGTCTGTAAACAGAGGTACAGACAACTTATTTTACATCCAATCATGCAGTAAGTAAATTAAAACTTCAGATCAAAATGAAAAACGGGCTTTAATTTTCCTGTATTAGGCCCAGTTTACACAGTGAGTGAAACCATAGCGTCTCTATTTCTGTTTGATCGTCCGTTTACACGACAACTTCCCTCGTTTTTTCTGAAACCAAAGCTTTTTGAATCCAGATCTCGGATTTTGGAGATTCCCTGCACAGGTGTGAAATTGCGCATGCTCACTACAATGTGGTTGCAGTAAATAGTTTTTCTGCATTTTTGCGAGAAGAACAAAAGTAACATTGGTGGATAGAAGAGTGCTGTTTGTGCTGCTCACACTTAGCAATCCACCGTCATCCTCAGTCTGAACGAAGGTTTGTGTATTCACCCTTTTGGATGTAACCAGTGTTGCCAAGTTCGCTTATTATAAGCGACTTTGGGCTTTTTTTTTTTTTTCCTAAAGTTGCTCGCAAATCTTGAGTCGCGGGTTGCGTTTTTTTGGGCTTGTTTTTGAACGTGAAGTTGTTAATTTGGGCTTGACTTTTTTTCCCCGAGTGAAACTAGTTGATTATCTCCCAGCTCTGCACAATAAAGCAAAAGACGAGTGGTTGTAGGTAGTTTGTCCCTTCCACGCCCCCGTTTCCTGTTTATCACTCCCGCCCAAGTTGGCGAGGCGACAGGCGCACACCCAAACACTCAATACTGTGGCTGATCACTAGGGGGCTCCACACACACGCAGATGTCAAAAAGTTTGTTTTTTAAAAATATGTAGAAAAAAATAAATGATTTTTGACATAAAAGTATGTTATTCAAAGTGTTTAGCATAATTTTGCTGTTGTTTATATGTAATGCCATAATAAATGTATGTTTATACTGTTTAAAAACGGCCTCTGTTTTACACAATGTGGTGGGTTGCCAGATGGCCTTTTTTTGGGCTTGTTTTCATAGAGCTGGTTGTTTCTATCACAAGATCTGGCAACACTGTTTTCGTGCTTGAGACTGAAGCGTCCTCACTCAGCACATACATTTGGGTCATAAAACAATAATTTTAAAGCAAAGTTGGACAAATGGTCCTTTCTTTTCTGGCAAACCAATAGTGGATTGAATGATTACAGCTTTACTCAAGTGTGTTTCTCTCGTGTTTATTCGCTGCAATCAACAACAGGAAAAAAAAAAACTAACATTTTCAGAGATTGTTCAAATGTAAACATGGCCTTAGTGGAAGTTGGGAGCCATAGTTAGCTGCTGCCATGTTAGGAGTCCAACTGTGATCCTGTTTGTCACCATCAGCAGTTCAAAGATTTCCCAGCATGCCCTGACCTATTTAACCACTCCTAAGTGGAACAAAGTGGGGGTAAATCACATGGTTGATACACAGCAGCACAGAGTGATAATCACACTGGAAGTAGTGACCAACTGAACCAACAATTAACCTCATCGAAACTTGAATTTTCTGATGACTATGAAGGACTAAAATAAGCAAATAAAATATGTTTACCTTTTTAACCAATATACTCTTTTTGAGAGAGAAATGATCACACTACTTCAATACACTTTTTTGCTCTTTTCCAGAAATAATAGTAATTTCCTTACTATAAAACCATCAAACTTGCGAGATGTTTCTGGTGTAACACCCACTGTGAGCAAACATCTGCAGAGGAAACAAGTAGCACAAAACAAGGGCTTCTGAGAGCTAGAACCGACCTTTGGACAATTTTCATCTGGCCTCTCAATGCCCTAAGACAAACTTAAAAAGCCTCAAATGAAATCTACTTTATATAAAAACTTTTGTTAGATGACATCCATGACTACCGTACTTTCCGCCGTACACGTCGCACCGCCGTATAAGTCACATCAGTCCAAATATGTCTAATAAAGTGGAAAAAACTTAAATAAGTCACATCTATTATGTATCATCACTGACCTGTCGCATTTGTTATGCATCACTGCTGACCACCCGGAAACATGGGCCGGTGTTGTGCCAAAAATGCCTATTACCTATTAATGAGACACTTGGCTTGCCATATTGGTCGAGGGCCCTCTAGTGGCTGAAAATGGTAATGTTCATTATTTTCCATGTCAGTGTTGCAACGTGAGCTGTTGCGGGCTCCCTGAGCTGCTGCAGCTAGCTGTTGCTAGCTGTGGGCCTCAGGCCTCATCTTGAACCCCAGGCCCGCCACCAGTTCACGCGACTCCCGGCTCGGACCTCCCTCAGAAGTACAGTAGTAACTCACACTATCTCAATAAAACAAGGAAATGCGAATTAAGTTTTACCAGTTGTATTAAATCAAGGCCGGAAAATGTTAGTTTACAGCGCTGGCTTCTCTGATACAATTTGACGCGAGATCTTGGACCGGGAGAGGGCCGGATGACATTTCTTTACAAATATATAGGGCCTAGACTCTGCCTTCACATGCGGAAGCACAGCCTTATCACATGGATACGTGGGGCGGACTAAATGTGATCTCAATGGATCTTATGTGGTCTGACGTGTCAGGAAAAAATGATATGGTGCACAAAGCCTTTCTACGGGGTGCGGCAAGCCAATAAAGAAACAAAAAATAAATAAAACTCTTATTCCTTGACGGATATTGAATCCCTGGGAGACTCTTTTTAGAGTGGCTGGCCCTATTTAAACCAGTCAGAACCAAGTCATAATTTCATTATAATCCATCTCTGAGCAGATCAAAAACCCAGGGTCAGTCTAGACCCTGGGTTTTTGAATGAAATCATCAGATCTGAGCCATATTTATAAAAATGTGTGTGTGTGTGTGTGTGTGGGGGGGGGGGTGTATTAGTCGCTTTGGTGTATAAATCGCAGGATTTGCAAATTTATGCAGAAAGGTGTGACCTATACGGCAACATTTACGGTACGTAATCTAAAGCGTTTGGACAAAACAAGAGGTCTCCAGTTTTATTTCTATGGTTACTAACCATAAGAAAAAGCTATTAAAAAGTGTTTTCCAACAAATCTCCCAGAAAGCATATTTTTCCAGGTACTGTAAAACGTGTGGTCCATTGATTGTTTTCACAAAGTCAGTTTAGCCTCCCTGTATCATAACGTGGCTCAGGAAGCTACGTGGTCTTGGAGAAACATCCATTAGTTGGAAAGACGAGCTACAAATCCTTCCAAACACGGAAATTTGGGTTTACGATCCTTCCAGAAATAGCCTGGGGGGTTGTTTTTGCCATGCTCGCTGATAAAGTGTTTATTACAGGACAGGAACCTGCTGTCGTCAAACACTTGTAGGTGCAGAACAGTAAATAAGAAGGTGGTGAGAATCACATCATCGCTGCTTTGAAATATAATTACAGAACAGCCTTGTTTCTCACATCGTCCCATCTGTTTTTTTAGACAACGAGCCACCATCTTTCCACCGACCTCAAATCAACCTGCGGACATTTGCCGGAGAGAATTTTGTCTTTCAGTTAGCGGCGTCTGACCCTGAGGGCTCTGCGCTGCTCTTTCAGCTGGAGAATGGACCGGAGGGGGCCGTGCTCTCCCCTGCAGGCCTCCTCATCTGGGGGGTTCCATCACTTCTGAGGGGAGAGGAGGAGGAGGTCGGGCAGGCGAGACAATTGTTTCGCTTCACGCTCTCTGATGAGTGCGATGCCCAGCGCACCTTTATGGTGAAGGTAATGTAGGAGGAGCATCGATATATACTGTATACAGTCTAAAGTTATTAAAGTACAATAAATATATACATTTTTCATGTGTAACAGATTGATGTGGTGCCGTGTGGCTGTTTGAACGGAGGCACGTGTGTGACAGATGTGAGCTTTCCTGCCGGCAGTGGGAAGTACCTGTGCGTTTGTCAAGACGGGAAGCAGGGTGAGCTCTGTGACCGCGATGTAGACGAGTGTTTATCAGCGCCGTGCGCAGCCGGGAGGTGCATCAGCACATCCAGCGGGTACAGATGTGAGTGTCCTGCAGGGCTGCGAGGTAAGATCAGAACCCTTTCAAGTCAGCCGCATGTCGTGGTTTCAATTCTCTGAGGCGGAAGTGTGTGCGCTCCGGCAGGTTTAACATGCCTGGAGGATATCAACGAGTGTGAGAGAAAAACCTGTTTTCCAGGAGTCCCGTGCTTTAACAGCTTTGGCTCGTACCGCTGTGGCCCATGCCCTAAAGGCATGCTGGGAAATGGGACAACTTGTTCCGGTAAGATTTCTTTATATACGTCTTAAATATTCAATTCAGTTCAACTTAGTTTATTATATAGCGCCGAGTCACGACAGAAGTCATCTCAGGGCACTGAACAGAAACATTCATATACGTAAGTTAACACTAGGGTATTTATCTGAGGAGCAGACTGCTCTGAATTTAACTTCATCGCAAACTCATCTTGAGCAAGCATGAAGGCGAGAGTGGAAAGGACAAACTCCCTCCTGAGGAAGAAACCTTTAGCAGAACCAGGCTCAGGACAAGCGGCCATCTGCTTTGACCAACTGAGTTTGAGAAGAACAGATACACAATGGCAGGTCGAGAATCACATGTTAAGATAGAAATATTATCAAATGAAAACAATTCAATTTTAACAATTCATTTAAGGAAATGAGGTCAATTTGTCCTCCAGTAGTCTAAGTCTATAGCAGCATAACAAGCCAACCCTAACTATAGGATTTATCAAAAAGGAAAATATTAAGTTCAGTCTTAAAACTGGACAACGTGTCAGCCTCACAGACAGAAACTGGAAGTTGGTTCCACAAGAGAGGAGCCTGATAACTGAAAGATCTTCCTCCCATTCTGCTTTTAGAAACTCTAGGAACTGCAAATAAACCTGCAGTTTGAGAGCGAAGCGCTCCGTTAAGAAAAAAATGGAACAATAAGATTTGCAATATAAGATGGACCTAGGTTGTTGAGGGTTTTGTAGGTTAGAAATAAGATTTTGAATTCAATTCTGAATTTCACAGGGAGCCAATGGAGAGAAGCTGAAACTGGAGATATATGATCTCTCCCACTAACTCCAGTTAAGACTCTGGCAGCAGCATTTTCGATTAATTTAAGATTTTTTTTAAAGAAGTTAAAGGCGATGGTTTTGTTGCCGTGTAAAATAAATATTAACATGAACAGTTGGAGTGCTAAATCTTGTTTCTAGTAAAAAAGATCCGATGAACATGCAAAAGCTTGGTCACCCTAGATAAATTAAATAATATGAACGAGTATAAATAAATTATCTAATTTGGAAAAACCTTTAAGCTGATATTTATTCATCATATTGTTTACATTTCTTTATTTTCATGTAATGCTACATTTACACTTTCAAAAAGCTAAATCTTAAATAATTTGTAAGTCCCATTAGTAGCAGATATTTCCCAGAATCTTTCAATAATATGTTAAAATGGGGAATTTGAAATATTTCAAATCATAATCTTTCCATGGGAATTGTGCTAAATTTTGCTTATTCAGCTAATTCCACATTTTTATCTCATTTTCAGCATCTTCCACTTCCTTCTGGTAGATTAAGCTTCATTCTGCCTTTTCAGTTTTTTTTTTTTTTTTTTAAGCTAATTTCAGCTTTTTAGCTAATTTCCTAATTTTGGGCTCAATTCTGATTATTTAAACCTAATTCAGCAAATATGTGTTCTTTCTGCTTTCAGATAACTTCGACTTGTTTTTCCATTTCAGCAAAATTTCAGAATGTTTTTTTTAGCTAATTTCAGCTGGGGGTTTTTTCAGCAAGTTCTTCAGCAATAAGCATTCACACTGCATTTTTGCAGGAAATGCAATTTCTCTAGTTTTGTATCTTAAATCTCTTTCAAATTTTGAAAATTCCTACTATTTCGCAACCCTGCTTATGCTCAAAGGTAAGAAATCAGGACTATTAAAAAAACAAACACCATAAATACATTAGACTCTACTACACAATGTTGCTCGACATTCTTGTCAAAGTCCCATTTTTTAGCATTACCCGACTGATAAGTAGCAGAGGTTAAAATATTTCCCCTGCTACAGTCGTTGACACAAGCGTGCGGACTTGATTGCAGTTAACGCTCCAGAAGATCAGCTGCTACACTCTCTCACAGCTGGATGTTTAAATAAGTTGGAAAATGTCCCATTAATGTTGTAAATGTAAACATTTACATTCTCAAAGATCCAAGCCTCGAGAATATTCCAAAGCTGTAACTCTAGGTTCTTTGTTGCACAGGATTTCTTTTTTAAAGTGCTCTTTGCCAAACCATGACTAGTCCACCACCGTGCTTAACAGTCGTTTATGTGTTCTTCATGTAAACTCTGCTTTTACTGTCTAAATGAGGCCAGTTTGTCAAACAGTTCCTGAAATTATTTGAAAGCATTCCGTTTCTTCTTCTTGCAATCCTTCAAGCATTTTTCTCAAAGTCTTCTTGGGGTCCCTGACCTCAACTTGACCTCGACTGTTTCTGGTGCCTGCCATCTTTTGATTACATAAACTGAGGAAATTGCTACTTTAAAATGTTGCCCTTTTACATTGTTTGCATGACGTTGAGATAACTTCAGAGCAGACGCATAGGAGACGCCTCAAGCTGAAAAACCTGGAACTCGTTAAAGAGGTCATGCTGACAACGTGCCAACAGCTAAGGTCTCAGATAACAAACATAAGCGATGAACTTTTAATCTGTTAACTTCCTTGCAGTTAAAGTTGATCACTTTTTAAGGCTGTGATTTCAGTTCAGTCTTTCTTGGATTTTATTGCATGAAAATTAAAAACGTTGCTGCGGAGTGTGTTGCGCCCCTGACTTAACCAGAGCTCAACCTGAAGTAAAAATAAAAAGGTGACTTTCTGCACAGCAGAGTCCCTGAGGGACACTTAGCAAGGATCAAGTGCTTCCAGTGAATGGAAAGCAGATGGCTGAAAGCAGCCGATGCTCAACGACTGTTGTGTTGTTGAGAATGTCAGCTCATAAAAACTGGTAGCTTCTGTTTTTGATGCAAACAAACCAAGTCTAATCTGGAAACGCAAATCATGAAGCAAAGCTTAAAAATCTGGATTTATTTATTTTTTTTTTTTTTGCTTAGTTCAGAGCAAAAACAAAAGAAAAATTGCATTTCCTGCGAAAATGCAGTGTGAATGCTTATTGCGGAAGAACTTGCTAAAAAAAAACAGCTAAAACATGCAGAAATTTAGCTGAAATGGAAGAACAAGCCTAAGTCCGCAGAAGAAAGCAGAAAGAACACATATTTGCTGAATTACGTTTAAATAAGCAGATAATTGCACAAAAATAAGGAAATTAGCTAAAAAAAAAAAAAAAAAAAAAGAGGCTGAAATTAGCTAAATGAATAGCTGAAAAGTAGCTGAAAAACTAGAAAAAAGCTTAAACTACCAGAAGGACATAGAAGGAGCTTAAATGAGCTGAAAAAATGTTGAATTAGCTGAAAAAGCTAAATTTAGCACAACACAGCTAAATAGTAGCTGAAATAGCAGAAAAAGCTGAAACTAGCAGAAATATTCTGAAAGGAGCCTAACAAGCTGAAATTAGCAGAAAGAAGTTAGACTGAAATAAGCAGAAATTACCAGAAAAAACTTGAATTTATATTTATCAGAACAGCTGAAATTAGCTAAAAATGCTAAAACGGTAACCGAAAAGGTAGAATAAGCTTAAATTAGCAGAAGTGGAAAAAGCACACTTTTGCTGAATTAGGCAAAAAAAAAAAATTGAAATTGTTGCAAAAAATGTGGATGTTAAAATTAGCATAAAACTGCTAAATAGTAGCTGAAATAGCAGAAATAGCTGAAACTTGCAGAAATAAATGCAAGGAACATAAGCTGAAAGTAGCAGAAAGACTTTAGAAGAAGCACAAAAATGTAGTTAAATAAATAAAGCTGAAAGGAGCACAAAACAGCTGAAAGGAGCTGAAAAAAGTTTACAATTGCACAAGGAAGCTGAAAGAAGCTGAAGCAGAACAAAATGTGAAAGGAGCAGTAAAAGGTTGTAAACAGATCTAAAGATTTGAAGGAGGTAAAATGAGCTCAATTCATTTTCTATGAGGAAAAAAGTGGCAGAAAAGGCTAAATAATCAGTCATAGCAGGATTGTCCAGAAAGAGCTGAACATTTTGATATGATTTGTTGAAATAGCACAAAATTGTGGAACGAGAAAGATGCCGAAAAACCTACAAAAAAAAAGAAAAAAAAAAAGGATCTCAATAATGTAAATGCTTCATAAACATTCCCACAAATATATGAGCCAGGAGGTTTTAGGTGTGCTGAATGTTTTTATTTTACTTGTAAGTTTTCATCACTGCCTGCTGATACAAAATACATGAGTCCAAACAAATAGAAATTTCAAGCGAAGGATAAGACAAGAGCAGAAATGACCAAACAATGTTTGAGTTATTACAACAGACGCGTTTCAAAGGATAAAGCAAACTATTAAAGAGTTCCTTTTCCGAGCCGATACGATTAAATCTGGACTGAGGCGATGCAGTCTGCTCATGGTGTTTCGTCAAATGTTCTGGCAGCTATGAGGCTAAATAAATTCAAGTCAAGCTTGTTTGACTTGCTGCCTCGTTTGCAGTCATATCGGTTCCTTCTTCGCACATGGCCTTGAAATGTGTTCATAAGCTGGAAGGAGCGATCACGCCTCACTAAACATGTCCCTCTTCTTGGGTCCACTGGAGGTCTGACCAGTTAGAAACCTCTGGACTTTTCTTCTCTTACTGCAACATAACTGCAATGTGGTTTTTAAAAAAAACAAATAGGTGCTACAGAGGAATCCAAACTCGTTTCTTTGTTGTTCTTCAAGCAGCAGTCTTCACGCCTCCCTTCAGCTCCTTGACACCAGCCCCTCGCACAGCTGTTTACAAGATACCAGATGTTCTGCTAATAGACCCTCAAAAAAGAATGGAAATCTTCCCAAGTTCATCTGGCACCTCACCGCAGATAAAACCTGAGGAGGGGAAAACAACTCAGAGAACTGGCGTGAAAGCTGAGTCCAACTCTTGGAGGAATATCTCAGGAATCGCCTTCGATTCAAAGATTCAAAGAGCAGAAACCAACAAGAGAGGTGGAGCAGACGCGCCCCAAAAAATCAATCATGAACGGAGAAAACCTCAAGAAGAAAACCCAAACTCACCCATCAACACAATGAAGAATGCCTCAGGGAGTCAACAAGCCAAACTGGACCAGTCTAAAATCTGGTACAGAGTGATCAACTCTTCCAGTATGGCTGGAAATGGCAGAACAGCAGCAGGTAAACCAAACATCTATACCACTCCTGGTTTAATATTCTGTGATTTGTTTTCTTGTTAAACTCATTGGAACAATCCAATCTAAAGTTGTCTGTATTGGAATTTTAAAAAAGAGGAACGTTGAGATTTGACTTCCAGCTGACGGTGTACGTTTTTTTTTTACCCAATTTGTTCCAGAAATAAATACAAAAAAACATTGTATTAAACAGTAAATTTCAGTTAAAACTCAAAGCAAAGCACAAAATGTAGTAAAAGCATCAAAGGTAAAAATATATATACAGTAATCCCTCACTTATCGCGGGGGATGCGTTCCGGACACCCCCGCGATAGATGGAATTCCATGAAGTAGGGACGTATATATATATATATATATATATATATATATATAAAGGCTTTAGAAAACCCTTCCCATGCTCTTGCAATGTTCTTAACAATGTTTTAAACTCTCTAAATGCTCTAAAAGAGCACAGCGAAAGAGAGCAGACAGACTGATACGGGGTCTGACTGGCCATCGGGAGCACCGGAACATTTCCCGGTGGCCTGGCCTGCTCAGTGATCGCCGAGGGGGACTAAAAACTCGGTTCGGGCACGCTTGATTATTTAAATAAACAATCCATGTGGCTCACTCAAGTATAAGACACCCCCCACCCCCTCCTTTCTTTTCTGAAGCTGTCTGCCACAGCAGAGCAGAGACACACAATAGGTTGAGCGCCTGCCTGTGTGGCAGACAGCCTCAGAAAGAGAAAGGAGGGGCGGGGGTGTCTGTCTTATACCGAGTGAGCCACACGAGCAAGATGGATGGTTTATTTAAAATAATCAAGCACGATCTGAACTAAGCCTTTAGTCCCACTTGGTGACTGGCCACTGGGAAATGTCCCAGTGCTCTCGATGACTGGTCCATCCCTCAGCACAATGCCTGGTTGGTCGCCTTCTTTCAATCAGACAATCATGTTTCGTGTACAATCTTACATTGAAAACCCATGAAAGAGTGAGTCAGTGAAAGTTGAACCTGTCTAATTAACTTCTTGCTTCTATGCTAATTTCAGCTTGATATGCTCCTTTCAGTTTTTTCCTGCTCACTTCAGCTTTTTCCACAAATTCAGCTACTATTTATCTGTTTTATGCTAATTTGAGCTTTTTCAGCTAACATATATTTTATTTATTTATTTATTTCTCGCTCGTTTCAGATTTTTCTGCTTCCTTCTGGTAGTTTAAGCTTCTTACTGACTTTTCAGCTTTTTTTTTTTTCCAATTTCAGCTTTTGTAAGGTAGTTTCCTAATTATTGTGCTCATTTCTGCTGATTTTAACTTAGTTCAGCAAATATGTTTTTTCATTGTTTTCTTCTTCTAATTTAGCTTGTTCTTCCATTTCTGCATGTTTTTTTTAACTAAATTTAGCAGTTTTTCAGCAAGTCCTTCTGCAATAAGCATTCACACTGCATTTTCGCGGGAAATACAATTTCTCCAGTTTATCCAAAAAAAGTCACGTCAGGATATTCTCTAGGTTATCTTGTCTTCAGAAGAACTATTGATGAGACCCGACTCCCATCTGGTTGATAAGACCACGTGTCGTCTCATCAGAGTTTGTATTTTCCAGGATCGGCGCAGTCTTTGCCCATCAACGTGTCGGCTACATGTGCCAGCAGGCCCTGCTTCCCCGGGGTGCAATGCATCAACCGCAGACCTCCGCATGTTGGCTACGTCTGCGGCCGCTGCCCGCCTGGACTTTACGGCAATGGTCGCGTCTGCAAGAAGACCTTCAAGGAAGGTGGGGGACTGTTTTTCCTTAACGTCTCCATTTAACTGCAAATGTGTCTGGCAAAGAGTTTTAAGTTACTGTGAAAAAATTTCTCAAGTCTGTCTTTAAAGAAAAGCATTTTCTTCTTATCCTGTGGATTATATTCTTTTAAAACATTTCAGCTGTTTGTAAAATAAAGAGTAATGATTAATGTGGTCAAATGAATCTCTGTATATGTTACAAGCTGTTTTGCAAGCTGGCTTCTACAAAGTTTTGTGTTTTTCTTGATGAAAAACAATGTTTTTCACTGCAGTAAATAAATCAGTTTGAGTATTTAGAGACTGCCAAAGTAATAACCACTCGCCCACAAAGTTTCAGCAATAAGATTGCTTAACGTTGCTTCTCATGGGGGGATCAGGAAACTCAAAGGGGAGCATATGATTCCAGTTTTAATCCCTTTATTGCTGATCCTGTTCGTCTGGAAAGTTAAAAAAAACAATCAGCGCATTTATGCAGATGCCTCAAATATGACATGAATGGACAATTTTTTATTATTTTTGCGGCAGGATTTATTGAGTCCTTGTTCTGTTCTGAAAATGTTGTTGGCACAATCTTTTAAACTGTTTGCTGCAGTTTGACCAAAACCCCCAACACATTCAACTACAGTACTACTGGACAGTAACAATTCCAGGGAGAGGTAGGTCTGCAGTCTTAGGAGTTGTTGGCATACTTTCAAATACCTTCAAGGCAGAAGAAGAGTTAAATGAATCTTAGGAGAACAAGACTCCAAGAACAAGATGAATGGTCCATGCAACAAAGCAACCACAGAATTTCTGAACAATCAGCAAGAGATTTATTTTGCTTTCACGTAGAGCAACTTGGCTTGTATTTAAAACATGTGAGCAGCAAAACTGACATGACTTCATCTTCCTTAGCTTTTTTGATAACATGATGATGTACTTATACATCATGCATTATTAGCCCCTTTTAACAAAACGCATTTGAGCCAAGTCTAAGATGTCTCCTTCTCATCTTAATTTGGATAAGTATACAGCAGACCAAGGAACATAACAGGTGTATATACAGTAACACATGGGGAGTTAAAGTCAACCCACGGCTGTTATGCCTCTAAACCACTATGGTAGGAAGTAATAGAAGTACAGTAGTTGACATGAGTAAAGGTAAGTCTACATTTTGGCACAAAGATGACGTAGGGATAAGAGACTGTCTCAATGAGCTGGAAAAATCAAGAAGTACAAGATGCTTATTCAACCTTCTGTCTTTCGTCAGCATCAAATCTCCTCCCTCAGCATCAGCAGATGTTTGGCAAGTCCAATCGATCTTCACAAGAAAGCAAGGCAAAAACCTCCCACCTCCATGTGCCCACCTTCCCAACCAGGCAAGGCATCAAAGGCCCATCCATGTCTATTAACAGGCAAAACAATCCACCATATAAAGAACCTATATTGGAGAGAGGAGGCGGGACGGGGAGGAGGGAAGCTGTCACTTCTGCTTCGAAAGATGTTCCCAGGTCAACAGTCAGTGCTTTCCATATTTTAAATTCCCACACCACCTACAAAAGTGGGAACTCCAGATTGAACACCAGGCTGTACACCCAATCAAGAACCACTCATTTTAAAGAACTGGTTCACAAGGTGAGTTGATCAATTCTACACAAATATATATATATATATATTTTTAAATCAAACAAAATCAGCTGTTCTGGTTGTTAAAATTTCCTCTTTCTTCTCTACATTCTTCGTAAGTCTGAAGGAGAACTGACTGGTGCTATGACCCTTCAGGTAACTCCGTCCACTCAGTCTGACAGAGTAACACGGCCCGAGCAGAGAGTCCAACAACAGCTCAACCATTTAGCACCTGCTAAAGTAAAACCCTGGACTCCTTCAAGGCCTGCCATCCCTCTTACTGCCGCTCTCACCGCTCTGTCCTACACTCTGCCCGATTCTGAGTTCTCAGCAGATGGCGATGAGGTTGAGCCAAAGTCAGAGGAGATGCCACCATTGGAGCCTGCAACAACCTTAACTCCAGGCAAGACTATCTACAGCTCCCCACAACAAAAATCTATCCCAAGTCTTAACCGAGTCAGCAGTGTGACGGCTTGCTCTGACCGGCCATGCTTTCCTGATGTCCAATGTGAGCCTGCTATGGATGGGGGGTTCCATTGTGGGAGGTGTCCCATAGGATACACTGGAGATGGGAGAACGTGTCGAGGTAAGACTGAGCCACAAATCTGGCCACAAACTCCCCCACCTTGCTTAAGCAAAGCATAGTGTATTAGTTCTTAAAAACCATAGACACAATGAAAGGAAAATAAATTGCATGTCAAATTGGGAGACATCCAATACTCCAATCAGTCACCATTGGGGCTATGGAAGCATTTTAACTACACTTACAGGAAGTTGTTCAGAGGTCGGTCTTCATGTAGGTGGACAGAGATAATAAATTTATCTCCCAGGATGTTTTCCAAAGTTTGACATCTGTTGGTTTTAAAGCTGTCTGCAGGCGCACATGTGGCAGAAACATGGAATGTGTTGCACCCAACACATGCCACTGTAAATCAGGCTACACTGGATTAAACTGTCAGACAGGTAAGAGGTAAACATCTTGGAATAATTATTTTATTTTTTGTTTAAGTCTAAATGGTTTTTTTTGTTGATTACTTTTTGGTATTCGATTAGCCATTTGTGATCCAGAGTGCGTGAACGGGGGAATTTGCATCGCTCCAAATGTTTGTCAGTGTCCCAAAGGTTTTCATGGAGAAACTTGTCAGCAAGGTGAATACTTTTTATGGCTATTATTTCAAAAATACACACATAAATGTTACAAAGGTTTTGGTCTGAATTGATTGGTTAGAAGTTAAAACAACAAAACTCATGTAGCTTCAAGATGTGGAAAATTTAACTGAGTTTATAAACTAATTTAGTAAAAACTGGTGAAGGTTTTAGTGACGTTCTTGTGCAGCTCTGTGCAGGTTACCGTGTGAAAACGGGGGCAGCTGCGTGGGACTGCAAACTTGCTCCTGTCTTTATGGGTTTGTTGGACCTCGATGTGAGACAAGTGAGTCCAGAAATTTTCATCGACTTTTTCTATAGCATTTCTGACGCTGTTACTTTGAAAGTCCAAGGCTGAAAAGTTTCTGAACAATTTCTTAGGGGGGGAAAAAAAAAGATTTGGGGCAAATTCTATCAGGTTCTTAATGTCTTCAAATGGCGAAAGGCAGCAACAATCAATGATTACGTTTAAGGTGAATTAAAACAGAAATATACATCTTAACTTTTTCTAAATCCACAGGTCTAAAAATAGATCCCAAACTTTATTTGCCATGATAGAAAGGCAGAAGCAGACACCGAATATCAAATGGCAGACGGTGTTAAATTCAGAATTGAATTCAAAATCTTACTTCTAACCTACAAAGCCCTCAACAACCTAGCTCCATCTTATATTAAAGACCTTACTGTTCAATATTTTATTAACAGAGCACTTTGTTCTCAGACTGCAGGTTTACTTGCGGTTCCTAGATTTTCCAAAAGCAGAATGGGAGGAATTCTTTCTCCTCTCTTGTGGAACCAACTTCCAGTTTCCGTCTGTGAGGCTGACATATTGTCCAGTTTTAAGATTTTCCTTTTTTGATTAATTCTATAGTTAGGGTTGGCTTGTTATGCTGCTATAGGCTTAGACTAGTGGAGGACAAATTAACCTATTTTCTTAAAATGAATTGTTACAGTTTAATAGTTTTCATTTGATACTATTTCTATCTTAACGTGATTCTCGACCTGCCATTGTGTATCTGTTCCTCCTTCCTGTTCCTCTCAAACCCAGCCGGTTGAAGGAGATGACCGCTTGCCCTGAGCCTGGTTCTGCTGGAGGTTTCTTCCTCAAGAGGGAGTTTTTTCTTCCCACCGTTACCTTTAAGCTTGCTCAAGATCAGAGTCTGCGATGAAGTTAAACTCAAGTCTGCTCCTCAGATAATTAAAGTTATTAACTTACTTTTATTTACAGTATACCTGTATATTAATATTTCTGTTCAGTGCCCTGAGATGACTTCTGCTGTGACTTGGCGCTATATAAATTAACTGAAACCAGTTGAATTAATAATTATATGTGCGTTAATTTGCCTGTTAGCAAAATCTCTCATGAATTGCTAGGCAGACTTTAATGAAAATTTCAGGAAGCAATTATTTAATGTATGTGTTTGGATTTGTCAAAGACCAAAACCCACAGAGGCACACATTCCACAATATTAGTGCAGATTGGATTTGAAGTATTTTTATATTAGATCAGCACTGCATATTAAACGCCTTGAAGGACTCTTAGTCGGCTTAATCAGATCTAATTCCATCTTTTCTAAAGATTAAAGCGGCAACATATCGCCCGCTGCCGTTCATGTTGGACAATGATTTAGATGATTCATACTAAAATCATTGTATGTTGAAAAATGATGAAGATACAGCTGTTTTAGGCAAAAACCTTAATTTCATACAAAATAAAGAGACATGTTAGCTCTCACATGATGCGTTGTTGATGAGTCTCTGTTACTACCACACTAACTTTGAGCTCAAGGTTTTAATTTGCCGAGTTACGTCCATTTTTGTTTTGGGTCATGTGGATTAGCTGTGGCAGTCGTCCTCGGGCTGACTCCAGATGTCAATCAGTTGAAGACATACAGCTAATGCTTGCTTTAAGAGTTGCTTTAAATTTTGTCCACTGTAAGTTCTTCTAGGTGAAAAAGTTCAGCAGGTGGCTAAATTTTACGGCTCGCGTTTGTGTTGGAAACCTACACTTGAGAAAAATGGAAATTTTAGACAAACGTTTTAAAGAATCATGGTTAACATCCATTAAGGATAAATTAGTTGTTTTCGTTGATCACAGTGGTGTGCGGCCGTCACTGCCACAACGGAGGTCAGTGTGTGTCCCCGGATCAGTGTTTGTGTCCCCCTGGCTGGACCGGACCGTCCTGTGAGACTGGTGCGTTGTGCAATGAAGAAAAAAAAATATGGTCTTTGTGCGGCAAATATTTCATTGAATCAATTTTTCTCCAGCTCTCTGCTCACCTGTTTGTCTGAACGGAGGTTTGTGTGTGCGGCCAAATGCCTGCCAGTGTCCTCACGGCTTCTACGGAGCTCAGTGTCAAAACGGTAAATGTACGAGAGGGCTAAATGTAAAACTAAAGCGCAGAACCTTTGATTTTTGTCTATTGTTTGACTCTCTTTCTGCTCCAGCGGTCTGCAGTCCGCCCTGTAAAAACGGTGGTTCATGCATGAGGAACAATGTCTGCTCCTGTCTGCAGGGACACACGGGAAGACGCTGTGAGAAAAGTCAGTTCTTCATCTTTACTCATAACCATCGCCAAATGTATCGCGACAATGTTTTTTTTTGCCTTGTCCATGTCTTGTCTCTCTATTTTCAAAATATCTACCGGTAATCACCAAAGAGATTTTAATTAAACATCCCACAGCAATCCTTGAGCTGGCATCTACAACTGATTTAAGTTTTGGTGACAACCCATTTCAAGATGTGATTTCTTACCTGCAAACAGGATGAATCTAACATCTTTTATTCCAATTTCCATCCATCATCTTCCGCTTGTTCCGAAGACAGGTGGCGGGGGCAGCAGCTTGAGCAGGAAGGACTCCAAGGCGTTCCCAGGCCAACCAAGAGACATAGTCTCTCCAGTGTGTCCTGGGTCGTTCCAAGGGACTCCTCCCAGTCGGACATGCCTGAAGCACCTCCCTAGGGAGGAGTCTAGGGGACATCCTTATCAGATGCCTGAACCACTTCAACTTGCTCCTCTTGATGTGGAGGAGCATCGGTTCTGCTCCGAGTCTTTCCCGGATAACTGAACTTCTCATCCTATCTCTAAGGGAGAGTCCAGCTACCCTGCAGAGGAAACTCATTTCAACCACCTGTATCTATGATCTCATGCTTTCGGTCACTACCCAAATCTCATGGCCATAGGTGAGGGTAGGAACATAGACCGACCAGTAAACAGAGATCTTTGCCTTACAGCTCAGTTCCCTCTTCACCACAAAGAACAAGCTCAGAATCCACGATACTGCAGACGTTGCACCTCCAGCTGTCAATCTCACGCTCCATTCTTTCCTCACTCGTGAACAAAACCCTGAGATACTTTAACTCCTCCACTTGAAGCAGAACCTCACCCTCCACCCAAAGAGAGCAATTCACCCTTTTCCAACTGAGGACCATGGCCTCAGATTTGGAGGTGCTCATTCTCTTACCAGTCGTTTCACAATTGGCTGTGAACCGCTCCAGTGAGAGCTGCAGATCACGGCACGATGATGCCAAAAGGACCACATCATCTGCAAAGAGCAGAGAAGGAATCCTGAGGCCACCGAACCGGAATCCCTCCACCCCCGGCTGCACCGAGAAATTCTGTCCATAAAAGTTATGAACAGAACTAAACTCTCGTACCGATTGTATAGTGACCGCACAACCAGCAACAACGGGCCCCCAATCCTATATTCGCGGGGCACCTCCCACATGTACCTTGAAGAACACGGTTGAAAGCATTGTCCAAGTCCACAAAACACATGTAGACAGGATGGGCAAACTACCATGACCCCTCAAGGGTCAGCATGAGGGTAAAGAGCTGATCCAGTGTTCCACGGCCAGGACAGAACCCACAATGTTCCTCCTGGATCTCAGGTTCAACCAGTAATCGGCCTCACTTCTCCAGTACCCCTGAATAGACCTTACCAAGGAGGCTAAGGAGAGTGATGCCCCATAATTGGAGCACACCCTCCAGTCCCCGTTTTTTAAGAGGACAACCACAACCACAGTCTGCCAAATCCAGTGGCACTGCCCCAGATGTCCCGCGATATGGTAAAGCGTGTCAACCAAGACCGACCCACAACATCCAGAGCCTTAAGGAAAATTATTCCAGTTTATTCACCCTTTTTAAGTTTATTAAGTTTTCCTGTGAATGTTGCGTAGAAAGTTTCAGTATTTACATTTTGTGAGGTCAGATTAATTCCTACCATTTCTTTTTTTTCCACTGCTCAGGTGTGTGTGAGCCCGTGTGTATGAACGGCGGCAGGTGCGTGGGCCCAGATGTGTGCGACTGTCCATCAGGCTGGAGAGGCACGAAATGTGATAAACGTAAGTGACACGATGCCGAAAAACTTTGAAAACTTAGCAGAAAAAAATCTGACTGCATAATGATGACAAAACCTTAGCCCCTCTTTATGTCTACCGCCATTTGGACACAAAAATCTGTTCATTTACACAAAAACAAACTAAAGAAATTTTAAATAAATGACTATTGATAACTAAAATCAATGCTGGGTGGTCCTCAAAGTATGACTCTCACTTACTACCCCACCAAATTTCTACTCAATTTTCAGTAACATTGACTGAGTTGTAGCCATTTCTGCGTTTCCTAACGTTGATTAGCTCCGACAGCCATCTTGAATTAGTTGTCGATAAACATTTAACGATTCCTTTCCGAGTCTCATACAAATATGTCCTGTGCCATGCATCCATTATCTTTACGTGCTTTTCTTTTTGGGTCGAGGGGGTCTGTCCTACGCTTTATGAAAAATTTTGCTAACAGACAGACAGATGTGACTCGGACAGTTCATGCCATTGTTGTAAGAACAGAATTTGTGCGATAATTTGACTCTCAGATTACAAATTATGGATGACTCTCAGCTACTATGTCACCTAATTTTAGCTGTTATTTGTAAAGCTTAGTGAGTTTTGTGTTGTTGGCTATGGCAGCCATCATCAAAGACAAAAATAAGCTTCAATAAGGGCAAAAACAAAAACCTTATTAACCTTATTTTGATAACTAGATGAAAATTACCCATGATTCCACTTGTAAATGTACTAAAAGCCTTCTAAACTGCGTTGTGTTAGGGTTCAGATGTTTAGTGTGTGTTTTGTCGCCTCTCAGCCAGCTGCCTGCAGTCATGTCTGAACGGAGGAGAGTGTGTCGGTCCAAACACCTGCCACTGCGCACCAGGGTGGCAGGGCATGCTGTGTCAGATCCGTGAGTACAACAAAAAAAAACAACTTCTTCAAACCTGTTAACTATGGGTGAACCAAAAAGAAATTTTTCTGCACACACCTACATCCGGCTGGGTGTTTAAATTATTGTGTTTTTTCCCCTCTCAGCTCACTGTGAACAGAAATGTTTGTTCGGCAGTCGCTGCATTCGTCCGAACGTCTGCGCCTGCAGGAGCGGGTATTCAGGATCTCTGTGCTCCAAAAGGGTAGGAACATTTGTACGAGTGTCAAACATCATTTAAGGTTTGGTTTGAAAACATTCCTCCTGGTCTGCAAAACCAGGTGTCATGACCTCACAGTCAAACATGAAAAGTCGCCAGAGCAAAAGCAACTTCATGTCAAAGAAAGATGCACAAATTATTAGTAGATATAAAACATATTTCTCTAAAAGTCAGTAAAAAAAGAGACAAAATCAGAAGAGCTAAATATGAAATGACAATGTCACAATTAAAAAAAGAACAATTAAAATATATGCAATAAAATTATATTTGAAAAAGGACAAATAAAAACTTAGACATCAAAGACGTGTAAGAAAAAATAAAGCAGAATGAAGATTATGTGTGAAATTAAACCAAAAATTAAAGAAATTGCATTTACTGTGAAAATGCAGTGCTCTTATTGCTGAAGAACAGCTGAAATTAGCTAAAAAAAAGCTGAAATTTTGCTGAAATTGAAGAACAAGCAATAGCTAAAGAAAGCAGATATAACACATATTACTGAAACAGGGTTAAAAGCAGAAATGAGCACAAAAATTAGGGAATTAGCTAAAAAAACAAAACAAAAAAAACAACTGAAATTAGCAAAAAAAAATGGCAAAAAAAGGTAGCTGAAAGGCAGAAAGAAGCTTTAAGTACCAGAAGGAAGTGGAAGGAGCTAAAATGAGCTCAAAAATATATAATTAGATGAATAAGTTAAAATTAGCATAAAACAGCTATATACTGTAGTAGCTGAAAGTAGCTAAAAAGCATGCTGAAATTTTGCTGAAATGGAAGAACAAGCAATTAGCCAAAGAAAGCAGATATAACACATATTGCTGAAACAGGGTTAAATAAGCAGAAATGAGCATAAAAATTAGGAAATTAGCTAAAAAAAAAATTTTTTTTTAATGAAATTAGAAAAAAAATGGAAAAAAGGTAGCTGAAAGGCAGAAAGAAGCTTTAACTACCAAAAGGAAGTGGAAGGAGCTAAAATGAGCTCAAAAATGTATATTAGCAGAATTTAAAATTTGCATAAAACAGCTATATTAGCTGCAATAGCAGAAAAGGTTGAAAGTAGCATAATTAAGCTGAAAGAAGGTGAAATTATCAGAAAGAAGTTATAGGCTGAAAGTAGCAGAAATTACCACAAAAAACTTGGAATTTTTCTGAAAACGGCAAAAATTAGCTAGAAAATGCTAAAAAGGTAGCTAAACAGGTAGAACAAGCTTAAATTAAGAAATCAGAATTAACACGTATTGCCCAATTAGGCTTAACGAAGCAGAAATGAGCACAAAAACGTGGAAATTATCTGGAAAAAAAAAAAGATTAAACTAGCAAAAAAAAACCAGCTGAAAAGTAGCTAAAAAAGGCAGAAAGAAGCTTCAATTATAGAAGGATGTGTAGAGAGCACATTTTTGCTGAAATAGGCTGAAAAACGTTAAAATTTGTGCAAAAAAATGGAATTAGCTCAAAATGCTAAAATTAGCAAAAAAAAATAGCTAAATAGTAGAAAAAGCTGAAACTTACAGAAACAACTTGCTTTGTTTGTTTACTTCAGCTCCCCATCACACGAGGCTGACGTCTGCAGAGCTCCATCATCCAGAGGAGATTTGCGTTTCATCACATGGTCTGATTAGCATGCAGCTTCAATCAGAGGAAAGACTTCATCAATGAAACCAAAACATCCTGCAGATAGATCCGACTGTAAATACTTCCGGGTTATGGTTCTTCACCGATAAGTCAAACTTCTATATGAATATTTATTTATTTAGTTATTTTTAATGTCACATATTTCTTGTTGTATATGTGCTCATTTGTGTGTTGTATCTACTTATCAAATCATTGTTTATTGGTTGTTTTGTAACAAAATAAAGATCCTTCAGAGGAATATGCTCCATCACATGAAAGACTCGATTTGTTTATTTCTGGAAACTAAAGCTTGGGTCGAGATCTTCCGGTAGTTGAGAGCTAGCTAAAACTGGAGTTTAGGAAGGTCAGTACACGTCAACGTCTGCCTGAGTTCAAACAGCCGTATGATGTAAATAAATAAACAAAAAATAAAACTAGTAGTTTATTTAAAATTCAAGGGTTATATTATCTTGTATTTTGAATAAACAATCAAAATAAAATGCGCGATGACTTTGGACTTTTAGGGGCGGACATTTGCGTTTCCGCATCCGAGCAAACAGTTGCCGGAGCACACACGTTCAAAATGCGAGAGTTCCCGGATCTTGTTAGCTTGGATCCGCTTCAAAAGCCCTGGTTTTGCCATTATAAATAAACATGCAACATATACTGTATTTTACCAACTAAATTAAGCACTTAAGCAGGATTATAATTATGCAAACAGCACAAATTTTAATGCTCAGGCTAGCAGTTAGCACAGCTGTTAGCTAAACTAGCATTGTTTTTAAACACTCACAATTGGCAGATAAATACCAGTAATGGACTACAAGAAGAGTATTGTAAAATATTCTAATTAGTATTCTGTACTTCAAATGTTATTTGTTGCGTTTTCTTTCTCTTTTTATAACCGTAGCTAATGCACAGGTTTCCAGAAAAAAACGGACACGAGACGCGCGCGACCTGCAACCTTTAGAGATTAGCCCACCTTCTGCTGGCGGTACCTTCCTACACATTTAACTTACCACATGTGTTTAGCTACACTATTGTTACACTTTTTATTTGTTACTGTTCAATATTTTTAAAAATAGGTCTGGAAATGAATAGATTTTTGCGAATATTTATATAGATTTGGCCTGCCATGACGTGTTCTACAGTCATTCTAGAAGAACCCCACGTATATTGAGAGGTGCGCCCCCTCAGGACAATGACAGTACTGCACACTTAAATTCAGCTTTTAAATTTATTTTATGTCAATAAATCAATGTTAAAAAACATCGCCACCCATGTTTAAAAGGTGGACAAACATTGCATTGGTGACATACAGTGGAAAAACTATATAAAGGTATAAAGTATATTTTATGATTGTAACGGAACTTAAATAACAGGAATCATGCAGAAGCTACCTTTATAGCACAAAAAATTAAGAAATATTAAAATCTATTTATTTTGATATTTAATTTTTTTTGACGATTCCTCCTGTAACCACACACTGTATATGTGAGGGGGTTATAATGTAAATATCTGAGGCTAAGTTTGTGTTTTGTTCTACTTTTGTTTGCCCCATTACTCATTGCACTTTTATTTAAAGTGAGTCCGTATCGCTTTGCATTTTTAGAGGTGCTTCATTTCCTAGATTAAGAACAAAAATTGATTATGGGATGAGTTTCTTTCGTTCATTTATCATTTAATTTCACTGTGGATCAAATAAAATCAGGGTCAAGTTTGATAATTACATAAAAACTGTTTTGAAAAATGGCCAACTCATTATCGACAGATGACATTTTGATTTTTAAAGTGCAGTGAAAAAAAAAAATCAGACATTATAACCGGTGTGGGCCAATCAGCACTGGGTCTGAGACATGGGGGCCACGGGGACCATTAGGGCCATGAGGATTAAAAGATTAAAGAGGCCTCATCAGCTTTGCACTAATTAGGACTCCAGGTTGGTAGAGGTTTGTTTCCTCAGACTCCGTTTTCCACAAGTTCAACGTTAAACAGCTGCAGGACAGAGAAGCCTTCTTGATGATTTTATCTTTTTTAAGTTTGTTGATTTCATACATAAGTTATAGAGGGTACTTCTACTAAAAGTAGAAGTCCGCTTCAATGCCTCTTTCCTGCGGGGTCCCACAGGGCTCGATTCTTGAACCGCTTCTGTTCTCACTCTATTTTCTCCCACTGAGGTCTATCCTGAGGAAACATGGTTTTTCATTCCATTGTTATGCTGATGATAGTCAGATTTACCTGCCCTTGAAACCAGCTAGTGCTTGCTCCATTGCTCCATTCACTCCAAGTTTTAACGATCAGAAGACTGAAGTCGTTGTGTTTAGCCCTAGCTCAACTGCCACCTCTGATCCTGTAAACCTGGACTGACTCCCTTCAGCCACATCTTAGGCAGTCTGTTAAAACTTTAGACTCGGACTTCAAGTTTGACAAACAAATCAACTCTGTTCTGCAGAAAAGCTTCGTCTAATTAAGGCAGGTAGCTAAGCTCAAGCCAGTGTCGTTGAAAAACTAGTCCATGTCTTTATCACGACCCGGTTGGACTACTGCAATGCACTCTATGCTGAGGTCAGCAGGGTCTCTTCTCACATCTCCAGCTCATCCAGAATGCTGTAGCTCGGATCTCAACAGGAACTCGTAGATCTGAACATTTTACACCAGTTCTGTCCTCCCTTCACTGGCTCCATGTGCGTACCAGAATAGACTTTCAAATTCTTCTGTTGACCGATAAGTACCTAAATGGCCTTGCACTCCTTTATCTCTCTGAGCTACTGGAACCATATGTTCCATCTCGGGCCCTGAGACCATCTGATCAGCTGCTTTTGGCTGTTCCAAAAACAAGATTGAAGCTCAGAGGTGATTGGGACTCTGGAAAAATCTGTCCCCCAACATTAGGTAGGTCACCTCCCTTCCTGTGTTCAAATCTCTGCTAAAACACACATCTGTTTTCTCTAGGGCTGTCAACGTTAACGAGTTAACGCATGCGATCAATCTAAAAAGATTAACGCGTTAATATTAAACAATGAAGATTAATCCATTACTATACTGTTTACCAATGTTCCCTCTAAACTGAGCGCCTGTGCAACCGCGCACTGCTCGCACGTTCTCTGTACACAAGAAAATCTAGGCTGCGCAGTTGCGAATTGGCCATCAGCCCGAGCGCATCGCTCTCTTCAACCTGTCTGAAATGCGTCCAGAGTGGAGGAAGAACCCCCCCACTCCGGTCAAAACAGACCTGTGTCACATGATTTGTGTAGCGACAATGGAAGTTTACGAAGAGGTAAAAAAAAAACAACCAATGAAATCACAGGTGAACTTTCACTCCAGCCATTCCAAGGGTTCTGGAGTTTCAGTGCTGATGTGCGAAGAAGCTACAAGCAACCTTGGCTTCTAGTGTTTTCCAAGTTTTATACTGCACATTTAATTGCAAACCAAGGAATAATATTTGGTGTTGTGGATTTATCACTGAAGTTTACGGTCATAGAACATCAAACAAAGGAGGTAAGTAAGCTAATCCCACGACTTGTAGCCATTTTAATCATGCTAAGTGTTAGCAAGCAGTAGTGCTTGGTGTATATCTGGGTGGTCAAAGTATGGAAAACTGGAAGTGACAGAAATGAAGATGTTGAGGTTCTTCTTAGGAGTGACAAGGATGGATATGATTAGGAATGAGATCATCAGAGGTACAGCACAGGTTGAACAACTGGGAGATAAAGTTAGAGACCAGACTGAGATGGTTTGGACATGTCCAAATCCAATGTTTTCAGATCTCTCTTGTAAATGAGTCCTCGAGGCTCAATGGGATTAACCTGTCTAAATAAAGGTTGAATGAAATGTCCAGAAGAGGGACAGTGAGTATATTGGTAGAAGGATGTAAGAAATGCAGCTGCCAGGAAAAAGACAAAGAGGAGATATATGGATGGAGTTAGAGAGGACATGGAGGTAGTTGGAGTGAGGACGGAGGATGCAGACGGATGCTCAGGGAGCTTGTTTGTTTGCCCAGACACATGAAAAATGAGAGGGAACGTTGCTACGTGTTTTGACCACATAGATGACATTTAAGGAGACTTTTGAGTTAACATTTAAAACTTAATGTGTGAAACAAAACGACTTCTATAAAACTCGCTCGGTATGAAAACCTGGAAAACTGTTTGGATTGAGACAATAAAACATTTTCTTCAACATTTTTATGAAAACCTGCATATTTACATTTCAAGCTTACAAATTTAAGCATAGAGATTAATCGTGATTAATCACACCCGAGTGTGATTAATCTGATTGCATTTTTTTAATCGATGACAGTATTTTTCTCTGACATTTCACACAGTGTGAGTTGATTTAGTATTTTTTGTTCCTTGCTTCTGTTTTTACATTAATCCTTCAGTATTATCATTAGTGTGCGTTATATTTTACTCCCATTGATGTTATTGTTAAGCACAGTTTCTGTTTTAAATGTGTTCTATAAATAAAATTGACTTGACAAAAAGTGACTTTTAAACTCCCCAGGTTTAGAAACTATTAGTTGGAGTTTGGCGCCCTCTAGTGGCCGCAGTAATGTCTAAAAACGACAACAAGTAGATTTTCTAAATTCAGTTCAGTTTATTTCTATAGCGCCAAGTCAAAACAGAAGTTATCTCAGGGACTGAACAGAAACATTCATATAGAAAATAAAACTGTAGATGTTTATCTTTTTCAGCTTTGGCGCTTTGTTTTTAGTAGTAGTTTTAAATATATTTTTTAGTATTTTAGTAGTATTTTTAATGTTTTTTGGTTGGTTGGCGTATTTAACATGTATTTTTATTATGTTAGTATTTTTTACATGTTTTTTAGTATTTTAGTAGTAGTTTTTTTTTAGTATGTTAGTAGTTAAAAAAACTACTAAATATGTATTTTTAGTATGTTATTAGTATTTTTATGTTTTTTTAGTATTTTAGTAGTATTTTTAATGTTTTTTAGTATGTTAATAGTATTTTTTAATATGTATTTTTTTAGTATGTTAGTAGTATTTTTTATGTTTTTTTTCCTAAGTTAGTATTTTTTAATATGTATTTTTAGTATGTTAGTATTTTTTATGTTTATTTTTTATTTTTTTAGTATGCTAGTATTTTATACGTTTTTTTAGTATTTAACAGTACTTTTAATGTTTTTTTTGTATGTTACAAGTATTTTTAAATATTTTTTAGGATTTTAATAGTATTTCTTAATGTTTTTAATAGTATTTTTTGTTTTTAGTATGTTAGAAGTATTTTTAATATGAATTTTAATACGTTAGTAGTATTAACGTTTTTTACTATGTTAGTATTTTTAATGTGTTTTTAGTATGTTAGTAGTATTTTTATATGTTTTAGTAGTATTTTTTAATGCGTTTAATATTTTAGCAGTGCTTTTAATGTTTTTTATGTTACTAGTATTTTTTTTTTGTATTTTAGTAATTTTTTTTAATGTTTTTAATATTTTAGTAGTTTTAAATGTTTTTAAGTATGTCAATCATATTTCTTAATATATATTTTTATTATGTTAGTAGTGTTTTTAACTTTTTTTAGTATGTTAGTAGTGTTTTTTTGTTTTTTAGTATTTTAGTAGTAATTTTAATGTTTTTAGTATGCTACTAGCATTTTTTAATATGTATTTTTAGTATGTTACTAATATTTTTTGTGTGTATTTTAGTAGTATTTTTTTTTATATTTTAGCTTTTTTTTGTATGCTTGTAGTATTTTTTAATATGTATTTTTAATATGTTAGAAGTATTTTTAATGTTTTTAGCATGTTAGTAGTATTTTTTAATATGTATTTTTAGTATTTTAGTAGTATTCTTTAGTATGTTTTTAGTATTTTTGCTGCATGCTTTAATATTACTTGCTGTAGTTTTCTTTTTGTTTTGGCGAGTTGTGATTGAATCGTCGACCTTGTGTTGATGTTGCACATGACAAATAAGCCTCTCGTAACTTTGGGTAACACTTTACAATAAGCTGCACAAAATGTGACTAACTACTCGGGAACGCCTCGGGAGCTAACCAGTACTTACTGGGGAACCCACAGCCAAGTGTTAATAGGGGACTACTGGTTCTCCATGTGGGTTGTGAATAAACCCTGCACCAGTTTGTAATGATCAAAAACCTGTTATTACTCATCTTATTGGATTCTCTCTTCTGTAAACGTATTGATGATCACGATCAATGTCATGATCTTGTACTGCCGTCATCTTAACTACAGTATGTCCGACTATTACTATGGCTGTTATTTTGTTCACTGATGTAGCGCAGCATCACACCAAGTACTTACTGAGGATCAAATTATTCATGACGGGTTCGTGTTTCTGCACAGGTAAAACTTGTCAACATTCAAGCGATCAGACCCAACAGACTCAAATGAAGTCGAGTTTTTTTCTGACAGGATCTGGATGAATTGACAACCTGACTGAGCTCTAACAGCAGCTCGAGCTCAGACCCTTTAGATATTTATATCCGTCCCCCCCCAAAGATGGCACTGGGCAGGGTGGACCGGGCCGGGCCTGTCCACCTGGACTGTTCACTCAGTAGCGGTTACCCTCCTCTTCCTCCTGCAGCCTGGATGCAGCAGCAGACTGAATCCCACTCTGAACCATCAAAACCAAAAGAAATTAAACATTTCGCAACAAAATCAAGGTTGTTATTTTAAAGGTTTGACCGAAACGCTTCTTACTTTGAGACGAGCTTAATCCTGAAGAGCGGCGATGCCTCCAAGCATCTCCACACCTTTAAGGTGTTGCATTTCTTTAACGTTCATTTTCCATTCAACTGGAAACACAGAATCCTTGAACGCAGCTTCAGAGTTGAAGCCTGGTCCAGGAAGTGAGGAGACAAGTTGTGTTTTCAGGTTCTGGTGTTGTGAAAAGGTCCATATAGGTCGAGTCTATTTAAACCTCCATCCTCCGGACAACAGGTGCCCCCCTCCTCCACCCTCAGCCTCCACCTGTCTCCCCTCTACGTCCTGGCTCAGACCCAGAAACCAGCCGTCACTCAGCACATATGGCATGCAGTCGGGCCCGGACGGTCCGAACCCCCCCTCAGTCACCGGATCGGCGGCAGCTGCTCGACCCCCCCACCTCCCCCGGTTCTATTTTCACCCCTCCTCCTCCGCCGGGATAAAGTGCCGCCCGCGCGCGAGCCGAGCAGCTCGTTTCAGATCAGGATGAAGTCCAGCAGCACCGCGCGCATCGACGGCTTCACCTCCGACCCGGACAGCGGTTCCGACAGCTCGGACGGCTGCAGCCCGCGGGGGGAGTCCGTGCAGGAGGGGGGGGAGGCTTCGCTGAGGCGCAGGAGGCGGCGGCACAGGAGCGGCGGAGAGGCGCCTCTGGCCGGCGTCAGCAAACAGAGGCAGGCGGCGAACGCGCGGGAGCGGGACCGAACCCACAGCGTGAACACGGCGTTCACGGCGCTGCGCACGCTCATCCCCACCGAACCCGCGGACCGGAAGCTCTCCAAGATCGAGACCCTGCGCCTGGCCTCGAGCTACATCTCCCACCTGGCCAACGTGCTGCTGCTGGGGGAGGACTGCCGGGACGGGCAGCCCTGCCTCCGGTACCGGGACATCCTGCACGGGCCGGCGGAGCTCAGCGGCCGCTCCCTGCGGCCCATCTGCACCTTCTGCCTGGGCAACCAGAGGAGGCAGGTGAGGAGCAGCTGCACCTGGGCTTCTCCTGGACACAGTCCAGAACCTGACGCAGAATCGGGTCCAGGCTGAGTTGGTAGAAAAGTCAATTGAATCGAAAAAGCTATATATATATATTTTTTTTTTATTATTGTTATTTTTTGCCAGAACACATTGAGAAGTTGTGTGGTAAAATTTGCAAAAGTTAAGTTGAAAGCTAAATGTAGCATGTAGCTCAAACATACACATGTAAAAAGATGCTAGATAAAAAAAAAAAAAGCTAAATTCTAAAGTTGTAGAACGTTAGGTAACAGCTAAAACCAAATGACATAGAAAAGTAGCAAAACACTAGCTAAAAGTTGCAAAATGCTAATACAAAATGTTAGCCTAAAAGTTGCTAAGCCTAGCTAAAAATAGCTTATAATAAATAAGATATAAACTTATAACTTCTTCAGGTCGTCCTCCATACCTTATCTGCAGCAGGCAGCGTCTCTTGTTAGAGCTCCGACAGGTGGTGTTCCCGCATGTTTAAATTAAATCCACAATGCTCAGAGAAACATTAGCTTGTACCGTTTGCACATAAACGCAGTTTCCGCTCCACCGGAAGTCGCACGCATAATTCACGCAAAGCATTGTGGGACATAGGTGTCTAGTAGCAAAATGTTAGATTATAGGTAAAAGTATCCAAATGCTATACAAAAGTAGTGCAACACTAGCTAAAAGTTGCTAAAGCCTAGCTAAAACCTAAAAAGTAGCAAAAATATCTAAATGAAGTAACAAAGGCTAAAAGATGCAAAGCCTAACTAAAAGTAGCAAAAGGTTCACTAACTTAAACAGAATGCTAAGTTGTAACTAAAATGAGCATTAATTTTACTAGCAATAACATTAGTAGTCTTAGCATTAGTAGTGCTCGCGTAGTGCTAGCATTAGTATAATTAGCAATAGTAGCATTAGCATTGGTATATTAGCAGTAGCATTAGTGTAATTAGCAGTAGTCGCAATAGCATTGGTATATTAGCAGTAGCAGCATTAGTGTAATTAGCAGTAGTCGCATTAGCATTGGTATATTAGC